CAGTAATTTAATGATTTTTACAGAAAATGGGTATCAATTTTCCAATCCAGATGAACAATGATTGTGCAGTAAAGTGAAATAAAATGCAACTAATTCGTTAAGAGTAAAAAGAAATGAGGAGGGGGCTTCCCTGGTGGCGCAGTGGTTGAGAGTCCACCTGCCAATGCAGGGGACGCGGGTTCGTGCCCCGGTCCAGGAAGATCCCACATCCCGCGGAGTGGCTGGGCCCGTGAGCCATGGCCGCTGGGCCTGCGCGTCCGGAGCCTGTGCTCCGCAACGGGAAAGGCCACAACAGTGAGAGGCCCGCGTACTGCAAAAAAAAAAAAAAAAAAAAAAAAAGGAATAAGGAGATATGACTGTGTTTTCTATAAAGAAACCCTTGACCATTCTTAGAAAAATTGGGTTTTAGTCCCAAACCTGACATGTAGTAGCTCTGCCACCTTAAACAAGTGTCACTAGCCCCCTCTGTAAGACGAGACAGAAGGAGATTTTCTGTCAATTCATTCTCTCTGCTCATTTATTTCTGTCTGTGCCTTCATTCAGCCAATACTATTGAGAACCCACATATAACAGGGCCTGGAATAGTATAATGGCATAGTGAACAACACAGTTGGTATTTTTATTTAACTCTTTCCGGCTCCTTTGTGCAGATAGGTTAGAGATGGGGGTGCAGTAAAGTGGGACAACAGACAGGAGACTGCTATAGTGCAGTGAGCGTCGATGGGGGCCCTGGACTACAACGACAGCAGTGAACGCTGGGAGAGTCAGATGACTTCAAGACATATTTGGACCTAGAATAGTCAAGACTAGCTGGTGAATTTAAAGAATTGTAGGAAAAAGCAAGGAAAAGGAAGATTCAAAAATAACTCCCAGGCTTCCAGGCTTTAATTACTCATGAGATGAAAGCAGACATTATAGTGTACAAGGAATGATAGATTAGTGTACGAGAAAATAAGATCCTTTTAGATAGAAAATCAGAGTAATAGGATAGATAAATATTGGTCTTGTATAGGCAGGTGATGGGGTGTGGGGCTTAAGGCATATGTTTTAAATAGGAGACCAGGAAGGGACTGTCTGAGAAGCTGCATTTAAATTGGGACCACAGTAAGTTCTCTAGAACGGGGGACATGATCATCATCTACACTACTTCAGGAGAAAACTCTGAAAATTATAGCAATTCAAAAAATTTCCCTCAGATTTCCCTTCAAAATTTACTAGATAGTCAAATGTTCTACCCCCGAGCTATACAGAATGAAGTAAGTGAGAAAGAGAAAAACAAATACCGTATGCTAACACATATATATGGAATCTAAAAAAAAAAAAAAAGTGGTTCTGATGAACCTAGGAGCAGGACAGGAGAAAAGACACAGACGTAGAGAATGGACTTGAGGACACAGAGAGCGGGAAGGGTAAGCTGGGATAAAGTGAGAGAGTGGCATGGACTTATATACACTACCAAATGTAAAATAGCTAGCTATCGGGAAGCAGCCGCATAGCACAGGGAGAACAGGGAGATCAGCTTGGTGCTTTGTGACCACCTAGAGGGATGGGATAAGGAGGGTGGGAGGGAGATGCAAGAGGGAGGGGATATGGGGATATACGTATGAATATAGCTGATTCATTTTGTTATACAGCAGAAACTAACTGTAAAGCAATTATACTCCAATAAAGATGTTTTAAAAAATTACTAAGTAGTAATTTCTGTGCTAGACTATATTTTTTAAAAATCAGGAATTCCTTATTAATGGAATACTCATTCTCTTATACTTTTCCAGTTATGAAGATGTTTATGCAGAATCCCCTATATCCAAGAATGTGGCCTGAACAACTTAGAATAGAAGGGATTTTTCCACTGACTTTCTAGGATTCGTTAATAAAACTATATGTCAACATGTTTGTCAGGCAAATTTTCAAGATATATCTGATCCTATCAGATGCTAGGTAAGGCACAGTGGGATATTCATGAGGTTTTCTTGTTGATCTTGATTAGTCTTCTAATACTGTAATAATTTAGACTTCTATTCTGACACTAGAAGAATAATTCAGAATTGAATGTTTATGGCTAACCAGAGAGATTAACTTAAAAAATTAAACAGTTCAGAGGAATAAAGTGTTCTAATTATGAAACTGATAGGAGGTACTATATCCAAAGTACACTGAAGACCTGCCAACTGGGGACAGAGACAGGGCAGAACCATGGGTAGGATTTATACTTCTTGAATTTTCAGGTCAAAGGATGTATTGACTAGGAAAATCTTGAGTAAGTGAAAATAGATCCAGCACTCAGAACAATAAGATCTCTATGCAAGACATGTCAATACTAGGCCATTAAAATAGGCTTGTGAAAAGAGAAAATAATAGGCAGTTTAATAATATGTCCCTGTGAAATCTCTGAACTTTAGAAAATAAACAAATTGGTCGTCATTGGTAAACAGCAAACATCTGAAATGCTCCAGACCTGAGGAACTCTGAACGCCATGGAGGGCTGCTGATGTTTTTGCTTGTCTCCCCCATATTTCTTCTCATTAGTTGATTGAATAAAAGAACATTCAAAAGAAGTTCTAGACTTCTTTTTTTAGGGAAGAGTTTCTCAATATTGGCCCTATTGACATATTTGACAAAATAATTCTCTTTGTGGGGGGATCATCCTCTAAATTGTAGGATATTTAGCAACATCCCTGGCCTCTGCCCACTAGATGCCAATCGCAAGCCCCCAAGTTATGACAACCAAAACTCTCCAGACATTGACAAATGTCTGCAGGAGACAAAAAACATCCCTGGTTGAGAACCACTGCTCTAGGCTGACAGTTACTATATACCATAGATTCAAAGATCCACACGTTGCTGTATTCTTTATTATTGAAAGAATTAAAAGCACTGGAAAGATCTGGGACAGAAATACACAAGGCACCAACCCCCAAACTGTGCCATTTTATTTATTCCATACCACATTGCTAATTATATATTGAAATCTTAGAAAATGAGCCTTTTGAATGACCTCATTTTTCATAATTATTCTTAGAAATTGTACAAGTCCAAACAAGTTAGATATGTTACTAATTGAAATGTACACAAATTTCTTTACCAAATGCACTTAGTAAGGCTCCTTTAAGCTGGCCCATCCTCAGATCAGGGCAGGCCTTACCTGCTATGGGTAGAAGCTTGGTCTTTATTCTGTTGCTTGGCAGAGACAGAAGGCAGACTAGACATCAAAGGAAGAATGGAAGATCACTTCAACCCTATTCTGGATCCCAGGTTCCCTTTTCTTACCTTTAACTCTGGCAAATTTCCCTGTATAATGAGAGTATCTTAGTCTGTTCAGGCCACTATAACAAAGTACCACAGACTGGGTGGCTTATAAACAACAGAAATTTATTTCTCACAGTTCTGGAGGCTAAATTTATTTCTTACAGTTCTGCTCGGGTGTCAACATGGCTGGGTTCTGATGAGAGCCCTCTCCTAGTTGCATACTGCAGTCTTCCCATTTTATTCTCACCTGGCAGAAAGAGGACTTGAGACCTCTCTGTAGTCTCTTTTATAAGGGCAGTAATCCCATTCATGAGGGTTCTACCCTGATGATCTAATCACCATCCAAAGGCCCTCCCACCCACCTCCTAATATCATCACATTATGAGGATTTCAGCATATGAATTTTCTGGGAATACAAACATTCAGTCCATAACAGGGAGCTACCCTATTTAGTGAAGCTGAAAGGTCCAGCAGTCATAGAAGAGAGAAACTGTCTCTAAGGGGCGAATGTATATGTGCTAAAAACAACTGTTGTAGGGCACGCATTCAGTGAGGTGATGCGACTCTGTCTGGGTTTATATCAGATTTGCCTAAAGACACAATCTGCTTAATCTAGTTTCCCCTATCTGCGAACTCCAGATTGCCATCACCCCTGGCAACTCTATCTCATAGCTCCTCTCTATGCATGCTTTAAACTCTTATTCCCATTGCTAGCTGCCTGATTCTGATTTTCCCAAATCAAATTCAAAAGAGGAGAGAGAATTTGATTGACTTACCCCATCTTTTCAAATAATAATAATAACATGCAACAGGATTAGGTATCATGTACCAAATAGCATATGGTTTAACTCTAAATCCTTACTTCAAACAAATCAAATAGGAATAATCATTAAGCTCATTTTATGAAAGAAGAAAATGAAGATCAAAGTCAAGTGGCAAACCTTGGATTAGGACCTAGACAGTCTGACTCAGCTCCCATTCTTTTAATCACCTATAATTTGGTGGTCATGGGTCAGGTGCCCACCATGGTCCAATTTTGGCTGCACCCGAGTAGGACAAAGCATGTGGTCCCCACAGTAGGAACTGAGGGCAGTGCCACATCATTTAAAAGTGGCCTAAGGGCTTCCCTGGTGGCGCAGTGGTTGAGAGTCCGCCTGCCGATGCAGGGAACACGGGTTTGTGCCCCGGTCCGGGAAGATCCCACATGCCGCGGAGCGGCTAGACCCGTGAGCCATGGCCGCTGAGCCTGCGCGTCCGGAGCCTGTGCTCCGCAACGGGAGAGGCCACAACAGTAAGAGGCCCGCGTACCGCAAATAAATAAATAAATAAAAGTGGCCTAGGCATGTGGCAGGAAACTACCTTTGACCTAACACAACAGCCATACAAAAGGGCAACAAAGGCCACTTTAAACATGAAGTGAATAACTGGTTATTTCCTGTACCATGAAAAGAGCAAAAACAGAAAAGGTAAGGCCAAGCTTCCCCTTTAAGCAACAAAATATATCAAGTTATTATGGATCCACAAATTTGTTGAGCAAATTGGATAAGGAAAAATTCTACACATCTTTTAAATGCTAACATTCTTGTTATTAAATTATGTTTTTGAATCATCTGTCAGTGATTAATGTACACTGTCAAGCCCATTTTATTTATATTTTATCTCATATTTTGCAGAAAAGTATATAGGGGTAGAGAACTTCTACTTCTAAAAGTACATCTTTCTACCACCTTTGTCAATGAAAGTGTGCTTACCTAATTTTGAATATCTACTTAAAAAAGGTTTTTTTTGGCTGCATTGGGTCTTCGTTGCTGCACGTGCACTTTCTCTAGTTGCGGTGAGCGGGGGGCTACCCTTCATTGCGGTGGTGCATGGGCTTCTCATTGCTGGGCTTCTCATTGTGGTGGCTTCTCTTTTTGCGGAGCTCAGGCTCTAGGCACGCGGGCCTCAGCAGTTGTGGCTCGGGGGCTCCAAAGCGCAGGCTCAGTAGTTGTGGCGCACGGGCTTAGTTGCTCCGCGGCATATGGGATCCTCCTGGACCAGGGGTCGAACCCGTGTCCCCTGCACTGGCAGGTGGATTCTTACCCACTGTGCCACCAGGAAAGTCCCGAATATCCACATCTTAATCCAGCCTCTTGCAAAGCTTGCAGATATATCTCCAAGTTCTTCTGGAATTTAGAGTTACATAAGAAAGAGTTTAATTTTAGTTCCTTTATTGGCAAATTTTTTCTACTTCCTGAGCACTTATTTTTTAAATCCTAATAATTAATGTATTTGTAAGAATGGACTTTGCAGTATTTCTTTGGGGGGGGTTGTTCTGAATGCTTTTTACTAGAATCTGTGAGCCTTTTCAATCTACATACTTTGACTTCTTTCAACACAGTCATTTTATTCCATTATATTTTTAATATTTATTCTGTTTATATTATCTTCATTGGTTCCTTAGGAGTACTTAAAGTTCTTAGCTTTAGCTTAAACTCCATTCTTTGCCCTCTATATCCATGACCTTTTCCTTTTCCATCTTCTTGTCCTTTTATTCTATGTTCTGCAAAAATTTCTCAAGTTTGTTTTCCATGTGAGTATATGCATCATTGACTCTTTACTCCCTTGGCATGAATGTTTTATTGTTTTTGCATTACTTTAGTTCCTTGTCAGTCTTTACTATCTCTCCCATCTCTTTCAGTCTCACTTGGTATCTTCTCATCCGGCTTGTTCTTTCCTCATAGCTTTGTGCTATTTCATAATGGTCATGTTTTCTTACACCCTGCTCTTATTTTTATGGGCTTCATTAATGTCTTTTGTGATTGTTCATCCTTGACAAGGAGACACTTGTTCAGATTCGCTATTCTCAAAGAGGTAGAGTGTGTGGATGGCTGATGTTTTCAGAGCCACCTGCTCTCCCTAACAAATTACTTTCTGCTTTCCCTAACAACTAACTTTCTAAAGAGACAGGAGCTTTGAGAAAATGACTGTTCAGGAAGGTTGCATTTGATGTGAGACTAGCTATGGGGCACTGTAGTCTGGGAGATATAGTTCTCAAAATAAAATGTCATACTCTTTAATAGACCCTGTAGTACATAGCAATTTGTAGACTGTAGATTGTAATTTTTCATGAATTCCATCTCTCCAGAAAAACAGAAGGGCAAGTAGCTTAGGGAGAAAAGATCTCATTTGAGTTCAGCAGAGCTATTCCAAGAGAAAGTTTGCCAATACTGGGAATTTTTTAAAAGAATTATCCCCTTGCGGGCCAGGTCTATCTGAGAATAGTTTACCAGACAACAGGAAACAAAAAAATAAAACTGGACTCTACAAGCATCTTTTCCTATTCATTAACAAAATATTTAGTACTATTTCTGACAGTTAAACAATCATTAAAGAATATATGGAAAATGCATAAAAGTAAAAAGAAAAAAAAAAGTAAAAAGAAAAAATTCCCCATAGTCCTATCACTAAAACCCAACTACCACCATTAACATTCTGTGGATTTATTTCCAGTTTCTTTTTTAATGTATACTTTTATTGGGTGTTAGGGGAGTGGAAGACAGGGGATACAAATGTGTGTGTGTGTGTGTGTGTATATACACACAAAATGCATAGTTTTATATGGTGTAGGGGAGTGGGAGAAGGGATATATACGTGTGTGTATGTATATATATATGTATATATACAATTTCAGTATCCTACTTTTTTAGCTAGAATTGTGTTAGATGCATTTTATATGCTATTCATAAACATAATTTTTAATGGTACCTTAAGTTGCATCAAAGTGATGTACTCTGGCGACTTAGGCTGATTCTAATGATTCACCATTAAAGAAACTTGCAATAAATATTTATAGCTCTCTTATTACAGAGTTCCAAAACTAGTGCCATTGATTCAAAGGGCATAAACATTTAAAATATCTTAATATATATTTAACTTTACAAAAGTGTTGGACCAGTTTATAGAACAATCAGCAAAATACAAATATGCCTAGCTCATCTTATCCTTATCAATACTGGATATTTTTATTAGTTTCATTCTTTGGTTGGGTTAATATTTTTCTTTACTTTGATTACCAATAAGACTATTTTTCCCATATACTTGTGTGCTAATTGCATTTCCTCTTTGGGAAAATACTATGATAGTACAGTGTGTCTTCAAAAGATAGGAAGGAAAATATTTATCTTATCAAGACAATTTTGAAAGTTTATGGCCATACAAAAAGTAAAATCCTTGATTTCACCATTCTCAAAGCCTTTTTTTTTTTGGTCATGCAGCACATGGGATCTTAGTTCCCCTACCAGGGATCAAACTTGTGCCCCCCTGCAGTGGAAACGCAAAGTCTTAGCCACTGGACCACCAGGGAAGTCCCTCTCAAAACCTTTTATTCTCATTTCCCATCACTCTGCCACCCATTACCACTATGTTTCAGGTAAACCAAACAATTCGCAGTTTTTCATATAAGCCATATGTTCTCCATCACTTTACTTTGCACATGCTGTTCCATTTGAATGTCCTTTATCTTACCTCAGTCAAACACACCACACACACCACACATGCACACAGAGCCTGTGGTCTTTCCCAGGCTCTAGTAGTAGCTTGTTGTTATATTTCTCGTAATGTCTAACATCCTGCACCATAATCATTAATATTCTTTCTAGACTTTCCCACTAACCTGTGGGTTCTGTGAAGGCAGGGACACCTCATCTTTGATCTCTAGATTCCACATCATTTATCATCATGTCTAGAAGAAAGCAGAAGTTCAGTAAATGGTTCTTTGAATATGAAGAGTGTTGACTAATAAACACAGTTGCCTTCCTAGTGATAGAACTGAGTGTCATTCCCAGTAATTGTATGACTTTAAGGGGCAGCATGTTTGAGTGGAAAGAATATAAACTTCAGAGTTGGCCAAACTTAGGTTCAAACTCCCAGCTTTGCTATTCAGAGTCCTTGGAGTAATTACCTAATATTTTTGAGACAAAACTGGAACCAATGGTGATCCTAAAACATACCTTAATAGGATTCTTTGAATATAAATTAGGTAATGAATATATGAAAGAATGTAGTATATGGTAGTTGCTCAATAAATAATAGACATTTTTCTAGTTACTGCTGTATGTTTCCAATATAGCTTCATTTCATGTATATTTCCATTCCATGTATATTTCCATTATAATAAATATTAACAAATTCAAAGGATTTGATTCTTATGTATGTATTTTTCTTTAAATCATCAAGACTAAGAGACAAGGTCAACTGTACTGTCCATATTCTTGTTGCACAGGCAAGAATATTCCTTTTAAATAAATCTTAGAAAAAAATTATTTCAGGAAGAAATAGAAAATATAAACAGACCAAACACAAGCACTGAAACTGAGACTGTGATTAAAAATCTTCCAACAAACAAAAGCCTAGGAACAGATGGCTTCACAGGCCAATTCTATCACATATTTAGAGGAGAGCTAAGACCTATCCTTCTCAAATGCTTCCAAAATATAGCAGAGGGAGGAACATTCCCAAACTCATTCTACGAGGCCACCATCACCTTGATACCAAAACCAGACCAAGATGTCATAAAGAAAGAAAACTATAGGCCAACATCACTGATAAACATAGATGCAAAAATCCTCAACAAAATATTAACAAACAGAATCCAACAGCACATTAAAAGGATCATACACCATGATCAAGTAGGGTTTATCCCAGGAATGCAAGGATTCTTCAATATACGCAAATCAATCAATGTGATACACCATATTAACAAATTGAAGGAGAAAAACCACATGATCATCTCAATAGATGCAGAAAAAGCTTTTGACAAAATTCAACACCCATTTATGATAAAAACCCTCCAGAAAGTAGGCACAGAGGGAACTTACCTCAACATAATAAAGGCCATATATGACAAACCCACAGCCAATATCATTCTCAATGGTGAAAAACTGAAACCATGTCCACTAAGATCTGGAACAAGACAAAGTTGCCCACTCTCATCACTATTATTCAACATAGTTTTAGAAGTTTTAGCCACAACAATCAGAGAAGAAAAAGAGATAAAAGGAATCCAAATTAGAAAAGAAGAAGTAAAACTGTCACTGTTTGCAGATGACATGACACTATACATAGAGAATCCTAAAGATGCTACCAGCAAACTACTAGAGCTAATCAATGAATTTGGTAAAGTAGCAGCAATAGCCAGGACATGGAAGCAACCTAAGTGTCCATCGACAGATGGATGGATAAAGAAGATGTGGCCCATATATAGAATGGAATATTACTCAGCCATAAAAAGAAACGAAAATGAGTTATTTGTAGTGAGGTGGATGGACCTAGAGTCTGTCATACAGAGTGAAGTAAGTCAGAAAGAGAAAGACAAATACCGTATGCTAACACATATATATGGAATCTTAAAAAAAAATGGTTATGAAGAACCTAGGGGCAGGACAGGAATAAAGATGCAGACGTAGAGAATGGACTTGAGGACATGGGGAGGGGGAAGGGTAAGCTGGGACGAAGTGAGAGAGTGGCGTGGACATATATACACTACCAAATGTAAAATAGATAGCTAGTGGGAAGCAGCCACATAGCAGAGGGAGATCAGGTCGACGGGGATAGGGAAGGTGGGAGGGAGACGCAAGAGGGAGGAGATATGGGGATATATGTATATGTATAGCTGATTCACTCTGTTATAAAGCAGAAACTAACACACCATTGTAAAGCAATGATACTCCAATAAAGATGTTTTAAAATAAAAAGAATTAGCTATTACCACAGTTGAGAAAAGAAGGCCTGTATTTTCCAAAGGCAAGAAAATAAAGTACTCAATAAATGTGTTAACATGATCGAATCATCTGCTGCTTAATATTTTTTGTTGTTTGCTCCATTAATACTGCTGAAGGTACTTGGGGACCTGAAATTACTATACATAAAAGTACTGCTATCCCCGATGGCAAAAGAAAAGAACTTTTGGAACATGCTCTACTTTTCATTGCCAAAATTATATTCACTTGGGCCACACTAAAGAAGTATGTGAAATCTTCCCAGTTGAAAATCAGATTTAAACCAGTGGTACGTTCAGCCCCAACGCGTGCATATATGCTCGCGTGCACACAAACACGCACACATACCAGAAATTCTCTGAAGCTCAGCTTCTGTTTATCACACAGCCAAGATTCGTACGTGCCTTCTGTGTGCCTTCTTTGAGGCTAAAAGGCATTTACATCCATCTGCCAACCAGATGAACCCAGGGAAAAAGTCACAAAGTCTACACAAATGAGGATGACACAAGTATTTGTGCAGAATAAATTTGCCAAGATTTTTTTCCCTCTACCCTTATCCCATACCCCATGCAAGCTGTTTTTAAGTCCCACATACTGCAGTTTCCCTTCTGCTGACAGCTCAAATCATCTCCTCCAGGACTTTGTGTTCTCAGGCCTCATTCCAGGCAATTCTCCATGATTAAATGTAGAATGTGTAGCCCCTAGTACGGTGCTAAGCACAACAAAACGTGCTCGATGCACAAGTGTTCGTTTCCAACTTTTCAAACCCCTCTAAGCACTCACAGAATTATCCTCCACACCTTTCCACACAGGGTCAAAGTTATTGCCCCAGGCAGGGCTTCTCAAATGCTGAGAAATGCCCACAAAATTTCCATTTTAGAGGCTTCTAATATCCTAAAATATGAAAAAATGCCAAAACCAGATTTTTAAAAATAATAGTACCTTTTAAACTTCTAAACCTAACAAAAGAATGTTTTTACATATAATATACTCGATGGTGATATTTACAAGGTAACTATAGAATCTATTAAAAAACGTTACAGGGGCTTTGCTGGGGGCACAGTGGTTGAGAGTCCGCCTGCCGATGCAGGGGACATGGGTTCGTGCCCCGGTCTGGGAAGATCCCACATGCCGCGGAGTGGCTGGGCCCGTGAGCCATGGCCGCTGAGCCTGCGTGTCTGGAGCCTGTGCTCCGCAACAGGAGAGGCCACAACAGTGAGAGGCCTGCGTACCGCAAAAAAAAAAAAAAGAAAAAAAATGTTACAGCCAGTATAGCCCAGGAATGCAACAGGAGTCAAACATGCATGCTATTCCTCACCTTCCAAGTCTGTTGATCGTGTTTTGTTTACGTGTAAAGGCTCATTGGGAAGTGACATTTGAAATATAAATTTCAAGTCCTTTGAAACGTAAACTCTTCATTCAAAAACCCTTAACTCCCATCCTCATCATAGTGCTTACCTCCACGCATCTTTGGCAAGGAAACCACAAGCAAATAATGAAAGAGTTAGGGATAAGATTTGCCCTGAAAAAAGAAGGGGGAAAGAGAGACTTAGAGGAGCCAGATGAGGCCATTATGCCCAGATCTACTTACAGGTTGAATTGAACAGAATTTCTTTCCACAACTCCCTTGCAACTCATTCCCTGTTGCCAAGGAGGCCTTGACCTCCCCCTTGGATAAGCAGAGCCCCACACCAGCCTCCCAAGAGAGTGAACTGTCATGGGAGCTCTGACAATCAGGCCAATGAATTAGCAGGCTATGACTAGAATAATTTTCCCTAGACTTTCCTGGTGAAAGTAAGCTATTCCTCCTGCAGAGATGCTTCAGGAGTTTATAACCTGTAAACTGAGATTGTTTTTCTGAAGTAATTACAAGGCACCAATGAACACTGAGTACTATTTTAAATGATGAGCTATTTTACTTTCAAGAGAAATAAACAATGAGAGATTTAAAGTGATTATAATGACAGACAAACACACAGAGTAATGCATTTATAACTGGAAACTGCAGGTTAAAGTATGACACTAAATATATACCAGGACATGATATACCCATGCTTTTGTGGAATTGTAAGGTTCATGACATGATGTGATTGTTTTATTGGGTTACTGAATTGTAGAAAAAATTATATACAGACGAATAGAATGCAGGAAGTCAGCATGATGCAGTAAAACAGCATGGGATTTGGTGTCTTTCTGATCTTCTCCTCTCTCCTTATCTCTGCAATCTGGCTTCTGCCCCCATCACTGCCTAGCCCCTAGTTTCCCTGAAACTCCTTTTTTTTTTTTTTTTTTTT